AAATTTATTTAAATATTTTAAATTTTAAAAAAAGTAAATCATAAACAAATTTATAGCAATTTTCTAGGCAAATTTGCTTGGAATTGTCTACAGTTTAAGGGATAAGGTATTAAAAAGATAGGATAATGAATTATTATTTACAATATATGTATTATTCATTTTCTTGTTGCTTTTTTTTTTTGGCATTCTTGCTAATCCCATTTTTTTGGAATTGTTTTAGCCATATTTGTTGACTAAGATTTTTTGGTCTCTTTTGCTATTTGGGATGCTGATTTTTTTTGTGTTTAGAAACCATAGACAGCATAAAAAAATACTTATTGCATATTGAATAGCAGTGCTGAAAATAATTAGTTGCATTAATAATAGATAGACAGTACTCATCATATCTAGGTAATTTTGTTTTATTATAATATTTAAGCACAAATATGAGATTTAAATAATGCTCATCTCTGCCTTTTATTATAGGAGGAAGGAATCTTCTATTCTTAGCAAGCAGAATGTCAACCTCATCCAAATGCTTAGAAGAACAACAAGACAAGTTATTACATTTTTTGATATCTAAAGAATATTTGCATATTCTCAAATATTTTTCTATCTAATTCCAGAGAACGGAGTTGATAACTTTACTATCAAATTCTAAAAATGCAATGTCACTAATGTATAGATGGTAAAAATATATATATATATATATTTTAAAACAAGTAATAATTAAAGTCCGAATAGTTAGCATCCCCTGTTTTTAATTATATAAGAAAAATTTTTGTTAACCTACCTAAATGGATTAATATTTTTATCAATATAGAATATGGCAACTAGTTTTCCAAATAGTGAATCACAACTCTACAAGTCACATAGTATATTTTCTGCATAACTGAAGTTTTTTTCAGCAAGCTTTGAATTGATTACTTGACCTTGTAAGTTTAAATATAATCCTAATAATTATTATTTAAAGTTAGAAAAACCTTTATAAATGATCTATTAAACTATTAATAATTTTATTATTAAATTGTTTTACTATATTTGTCAACTTGTAAAACTATCTCTGCAAGCTTTTTAGAAAGTGATACTATGTTACGCTCAGCTAGATTATAAGCAGAATATCCAGGTGCATAAGTTCTAACTATTAGATAGTCAATATTAAAGGCCCAAAACATCTTGCAATATTGTGTATATTTTTAAGATATTGCAGGATTTCATCTGGGCCTTTATTAATAAAAAGAACCCAGATGAGTCGAACTTGATCATTTGTTTTAAGAATATCACTAAACCGGCAGTCTTGGACCAAAGTAGGGTTCCTATCGAACCAGACCAAATCAAACTTTAGGTAAGTTTGGGTTCAGTTTGATTTTCGGATCAAACCCGAACTCAAACTATTTTTAAAAAAGTGTTCGGGTCCGATTTGAAACCAAACTTTTTAGTTAAGTTTGGTTTGATTTGAGGTTCGGTCCGAATGTTTGTGAACATATTCGGGTTTGATAATAATACAAATCAATGTATACTTATTTATCTTTATATCTTATCTATATTCTTGATTAGGCATAATGGCTACTTACAGGATTTGATTTGCTTGCCTGCGGTATATCTTTGCTTAGTCATCTTTTCGATCTTTAAATCAGATTTTAACTATTATTTATAATTGAACCTATGTGTAGAGACCCGACCCGGGTCAACGGGTTATATAGGAGTTTATAAAATTTCAATAACCTTTCTTGTCTATTAACGCTATGCATTTAAATAAATTATTCGAGTTATGAATATTTTATTTAATTTTATATATTTTACAGCACTTATTGAGTATAGAAATCCTTATATTAATCTAGTCTGAAATAAGTTATTCGAGTTATGATATTTACTACTGTATTTAATTCCATTTAACCCATATGGATCTTCTCTTGTACCTCATCCTCAACGATTTCAAATTCAGGATGATCTATAAAGATAGAATGCCAAGATTCTTTTGGGCGCTCGAACACGATTACTCTTTCGGACATAATACTGGTTAAACCAACGGCAGTACTCATAGAACTTAGTGATTAAAAAACATTTATTAATCTAAGGCCTAAAATAAGATGTTCGCAAGAATTTACTGTTTGAATTTTTTTTTTGGTTGGGCCAGGTGGGTCGAGAAATTTTTTGATTTCGGTTTAGCACCGAGGAAAAATTTCAAATTCACAACCAGTATATTTATGCTTTCTTTGCTCCTTTTTTTTCCCCCATTGATTCCGCATTGTTGGAAGGTTGTTTGTTAAAATTTTTATATAGAAGGAGTATTTAAGAGAGTTATTTTCTAGAGAGTTTAGT